CACCACTAAAATGATTCTGGTTAGAAATAAAGAAAACACAACCGAGGCAAGTTACTGCTGCTGAAAAGCAGCAGAAGCAAAAGCGAAGAGTGAACCTCCTCTGCCAAAGCAGCACTTTATGGATGATCTACTTCAGTTTGCCTGTATATTCTATTCACTGCTTTAGCGTTCTTCACATTCTGTCAGGAAGGTGCAACCTAACACAGCAGTGCAAGATATACACACTATTGCCTTGAAATCACCCATGTAAATGAACACAAATGCTAATCCCCATAGAGACACACACATAAAAAGTTGATTTTTGTGTCAAAGTAGGTGGAATAGACAACTATTTCACATGCTCATGTTGATCATCATCTTTCCATATTATTTGTACCGGATAAGAAGTAGTCATAGGGAATATGTTAGCAATTGCAGTCTTCAGTCTGATTCGACAAGCTAGTCAGATAACAGGCCTTTCTGTGCATCAGTCCCAGAAATTGTTGTAAAGGCTTCATTGTTCTAAATATCATCAACACAATTCTATAATAAAAGAGAAAGACATACTAACTTTGACATCTCACTGTTAGCAGTTTATGGAGAAGTAATCACCTCTCTTTCTCACTCCTCCAATACACTAAGCACCTGTATTCTGTTACTGTTCATCCCTGCTCTCATTTTGGCTGAGGAGGGACAATGTTTGTTTTGCCACCCAATATTTCTTATATCTCATGTGGCTAGCTCTTATACACATTGCACAAAATACAGCCATGTAAACAGAAAAAAAGGCAAAGATCAAAAAATCCATCCTATATTTTCTGTTCTACACTCAGCCTTTTTGTTTCCCTGATCTACTCCTGCCTCTCTGATATTCTTTTCTTCTTCTTCATGCTCTTCACCCACTGCTGTCTTCCATTCAACCTCTTAATTACAGAAGGTATAGACAATGTCCCAATTTCCTACTCTTCTTCCTCTATTCAAAACAGAAAACCTCAGCCAAGCAACAACAACACAAAAAAAAAAGAAACCCATAAACCACATCTGCTCCACAAAGCACTCCAGATGCAATGCCTATTGGCCATGTTGCAATTGTTCTGTGCAACTGCTCATGCCTCTTTAGAGCTGACATGCTTCAGGGCAGTAATTACTTTATCTGGCACATTCACCTTTTGTGAATCTCGGTGTACACCTGGAGGTGAACACAGGGCACTTGGTTTGATGCAGGTTCAAAACACTCCCAAAATTCATACAAACCAGATGTAAATTAAAGCCCTGGCTCTGACGAATGGATTTCTAAATGTCTTTGCCTACACTGGAGAGATCACAGAGAAGCAATGGGCATTTATATTCACTAAATCAAATGTAGTCAAGGGGTAGAATGACCTCTGTAAGAGTGGAGAGGAGGTTGAGTCTATATCCAAATATCCCCAAATTTTTGAGGACTTTGACTCTAGATCAATACCTTGCATTAAATGGTAACTTTAGTGCAAATTCCTCTCAGCAGGAGTTTTGGGTTGTTTTGTTTTGTTTTTTTAAGAGAACACAAGTCCATAGACAGGGACAGAACTTCCATTTCATTCTTTAGCATTTAAAATAGATTAGAACTCCAGGTGGGATTTTGAGAGGCAATATTTTAAAATTAGCATATTTACCGTAACCATTTGAAAGCAATTTACATCCATCAATTCTTCTTACAGGTTACATATACACTAATGTCTACCCATGTGGACACATCACTGTACTTATAAAAGGAAAACTGCATGCGGGTGAAGAGCAGTAGGCAGTTGTGATAGACATGTGCTGCAAAGACAATGGTGCTACTTAATAAGAAGTAGCTAAAACGACTTGAGCTAGTAGAAGCTCTTGAACTGTAGCGCTGCATGCTAGCACAGTTTGATCTTTTTCATTCCATTAGGGAGAAGAAAACTGCTATGCAGCCCTCAAGAACCCAGAGACAGAGGCTGGGAAACAGATCCATGGCTTTGCTTTTTGCCTTCCTGAGAGAACTATGCTCCACTTTTGAAAACCAAAATCCAGTAAGAAAACAGAAGTTTCAGGAAGCTGCAAATACACATTTGTTTTGATGATTTTATTCACAAGCTGAAATAGTATGCTTTTAAAATGTTTTATTTAATTTAATGAAAAACTATTAATCTTTTTGATAGGTAATAATTAACCATTAATCTGTCATAAACAGAAGAGAAAGGTGTACCTATGTAGCATTTAACTGAGCATTGTGTTAATCACACTGCAATGATTCAAAACACAAAACCAAAGCAGTGAAGTTTCTTGTATGAAGTGTTCCTTTTGCAAGGAAAATACAGCCTTAACATCCCTGAAAGTTAACTCACGATCACATAAATAAACCTTTATTTCAGTTCTACTCAATAACTTTTGATTAAATTTCAAAGACAGAAAAGCTGATCAGCTGCCATGACAGATTTAAATAAGTTACACTTATGTTGAGTATTAAGGCTTAGAAATGAAACTCTAGAAGCACAGACCTTGAGCTCTACTGAGCTGATGCATTAGACTGATGATAAAACAGCAAAAACTATAGTTCAAACAGAAAATGGATGGGTTCAGATATATTACTTTAAGCAGTGTTAAGAAAAATGAAGTTTAGGCATAAAGATATTCCAGATCCTCAATTGCATACCTTTAGATACATTATTTCTTTTAATTTTTTTCACTTTTCTCCAAGTACATGAATACTACACACTATTCCTAATGGAAGAGACGAATTAGGTACTGTGCATAAATGTTTGAGTGGATACACAGTGGACATACTGACATGGCTGATACTATAGAAACACCTAAGTTACCTTAGAGGCTTTCAAGAGCCCAATAATGGCTTCAATTCAGCAGTCATATGATTAATATAAGCAATCCACTACTAGATCTTATTTCCACCCAATTTAGGGAAAATATATAAGCCAATCTGACCCAGTTCAGTCTTGCTTGAAACCTCCAGAGAATTATGCGTAGAACTCTGACATGAGAAAACTCATTTAAAAACAGATTAACATGCAAATCTGATTTGAATTATTCACTTTACAGCATTTCTATTTTTCCAAAATAGTTGGGGCACACAGACTGTGCTCACAGAAAAGGATCTGCATATCCCAATTGCTACTTCTCAAACTACTGTAACATTTTCCCATTCTCTGAAAAGGAACAATATAGGAAAATCAGACAAAAATTATGACAGATGGATTTCTCCCTGAAGGTTATGCCTCATTAAATAAAGGAAATCCAGAGAAAGAGGAGTTTGCACTAAAGACATCGTTTTAGAATTAGGACAATGGTAGGTTTTGCCTGTCTCAACACAGCTCTAATGACTTTAGCGTCTTCAATACTTTAGCCCAGTCAAAGGCAATGGCAGAGCCCTGCACTGGGTAGGAAGTATTCATACAGTGGATATGTGCAACACAAATTAATGGAAAGCCCAGAAAAGGAGGTGAAAAAGGCAATTTACTAATCCAAAACTATGGTATCTATCAGACTAAGACTCAGTTTTTCCTAACACAGTCTCAGAGGCACTAGCCAAGTTTCATTAAAATTAAGGGGTGTGAGGACAGAAGCTTACAGAACACTGTTATCAGGTACAGTAGTGTGAATGTTCTTTCAAAAGTCATTTTCCTCTCCCCAAAATCTAGTTACAAAATGTCTAATTCGAAAACATAAGGGGAGAGTGTGAGGAGGGGGAAGAGGAGGAGCTGTTCTTCACTTGTCTGTGGCTATACCACCACTCTTTTCATCTTCAGTCCTGAAGCTGGTTTGGGACTCCAGGACTCAAATCTGAGCTCTGCTTTCCTCTAAACCATGCAGAAAATCAAGTCTCTCTGTGCACACACATATATATTCATACACACACACACACACACACCAGATATGTATGCATGCATATGCACATATATATATATGTATGTGTATACACACAATATATGTGTGAGAATATAAAGCAAATAAAATCACCTGACAGGCTGATGATAACAATGCTGTGTACATTCTGTACATCAAATATATATATTCAATTACTAGAAGTCAAAAGGGAGTTCACCGATATTTTATCCACTGGGATGTTTCATCACCATGGACATTAACATAGAAGAGAGCAGTCCCAGTCACCATGGAGCACAGTCCAGTTCTTGTTTTTACAACTTCTTTGCTCCCTACTCAAGATCATAACAGCTTAATGGTGACTACCTGGAGCAGAAGCAAGCACTAACAAGAAAATCAAAAACTTCCTCTGCTGAGATGGCTTCAACAATATGTAGAAACACTATACAAGTGTTTGTTCTGATCTTTTCAATCTATACCCCCACGGTCAAAAGCACGTGTGCATCCTGAAAGCACACAATTCATATCTGATTCCTTAACTGCTGAGATTGACAAGATCCCAGAACTTGAGAATGGTGAATCTAACACCGGAATCACAAAACTGGTGATGCCTGTCCCAAACCAGAACCAGCTTCAGTAAAGGGTGCCTCCTTTGCTCCTTCAAGTACACAGCCAATGAAATGACCTTACATTATTTGAAATGTAACCAAATACTGCTCCCCTAAGTCATGAAAATAGAGAACAGCAAAGTTCTCACTGAAACTAGTAACCTAGCCTCAACATGATTCAGGCACCACAAAGATGCCACATAGCTTGACCTAAGCTTTGCATAAGTTTCTCTGGTCAGGCAGATGAAGCTGAATCAAGGGAAGGCTAGAGAAAACATGCTGAACACTTTAGAGCTGCTACACAGTTTTCTTGGCTGGAGGTGCACACACACAATTGGTTAATCCAGTCCACTGTTAAAGAATGAGCTATGGAGTACTACTTCCGATTCAGTATGCCAAAACACTCTTGGGTACCACTCCTCAGAGATGCTACTGCCATCTCCCGTTGACTAGAGGATAGGAGGCAGGCGAGGAGCTGACCCCGGCTCACCTGAGAGGGGCTGCCGCCGCTGGGGACAGGGTGCTGCAGACAGCAGCCGCCCTCGGGGGGCAGTTAGGTGGAGTGCGGAGGCCTCCTCCTCCTTCCCGTCCTGATCCCTGTGGGGGAACGGTGTTCCCGCAGCCTAGCTGCCCCATCCCGTCTGGTGGTGTGGCTCATGAGGTGAAGATGGTGATCCGCATCTTCATCGCCTCCTCCTCGGGCTCCGTGGAGATAAAGAAGAGGCAACAAGATGTGGTGAGGTTTCTGGAAGCCAACCACAAAGAGTTTGAAGAAGTGGATATCACAACGTTGGAGGAGAAAAGACAATGGATGTATACAATTATTCCTGAGGATATGTAGCCTGCACAAGGCAATCCATTGCCACCACAGATATTCAGCGATGATCGGTACTGTGGAGATTATGATGGATTTTTTGAATCAAAGGAGAGCAACACTGTCTTCTCCTTCCTCGGACTGAAACCTACTTTGGCATCAAAGGAGTCAGAACCATAGAAAAACCTACCTGAAGTATGGACAAGCACATCTCCTGGATAAATGACCCTGTTTTTCAGCACACAACAGCTTTCCTAATGGATCACTGTGATAGAGCATACTTAGATGTAATCCTTTCCACTACAGTGCTTCTGAGGAAGGACCACCACAAGTATCATGTGGCGTATGGGGGAGTATATCAGATCATGCTTCAAGGGAAACAAATAATCTGCAACAGGAATGACAACCTTTAAATAGGCTTATGGATGTGGCTTTTAATTGCAGACTTCCTCTAGAAAAAGATATACTAAAACTTCTCAGGTATATGTAATTCTTGTGGAAGCATTACAGATGTTGGTTTTAACTGGAATTATGTGCAGTGAGAGTGCCTGGATACTGCATCCAGAATGAACCTTTTCAACTTTCTCGGCATTCTGTGAGGCGGGCCGGTTGTTCTACCCCTGAGCTCAGCCGGTGCCAGCAGTGCCTGAGCTCAGGGGTAGAACAACAGACCTGCCTCACAATGCAGCCAGCCTGCTCGTTCACTCACTCCCCACCCTTTCCTCCCTCTTTCTCCCCCCCCCCCCACCTTCCCCGCTCCCAGAGGGATGGGAAGGAGAATTGAAAGAATGTAACTCCCACAGGTTGAGATAAGAACAGTCCAGTAACTAAGGTATAACACAAATCACTACTGCTACCACCAATAATAATAATGATAAGGGAAATAACAAGGGAAGAGAATATGATACCACCCACCAAAATGAGCCTGACCCAGAAGAACCCTTGCCCTTTTGGGTAACTCCCAGTTACCTCCCCGGGCATGACATGCTGTGGTATGGAATACCTCTTTGGCTAGCTTGGGTCAGGTGTCCTGTCTCTGCTTCCTCCGGCTTCCCTTCCTCCATGGGAGAGCCTGAAACTCACAAAGTCCTTGGTCAGAGTAAACATCACCAAACAGCAACTAAAAACTTCGGTGTTATCAGCACTGTACCCAGGCTAAAAGTCAAAACACAGCTCTGCACCAGCTACCAATAAGGGAAAAAAATGACTGCTACTGCTGAACCCAGGACAGGCTGCTACACAGTTTTCTTGGCTGAAGGTGCACACACACAATTGGTTAATATAGAATATAGGGAGACTACATGAAAACTGGACCAAAATCCATTGCTCATGTTCTTCTCAAGCTGTGCAGCATACCAAAAGACTGAGGACTAAGTGACATTTACTAGAAATAGTCAGTTTCAGATTCTTTGGGGTTTTTTTTTTTCATATTAACTTCTAATTCTAAATGCCAAAATTATTGAGCCTTGCTGAAGTGAAACTTAGTAAAAGGTTTACTTAAAATCTGGTTTGTGCAGAAATGAAAGTGGTACATTTAGAATGCAATAATTATAGAGACACTGGACTAGTGGAAAGGTGAGGGAGTATTCAGAGTGACCTAAACCTTGAAGCCATGCTTTGGGAGCCTCAGAGCTGCAGAGCACAGCTTGACAGTCTGCAGAGGATCTGAAAGGAGGGCTGCATTGCAAGCTGCCAGGTAAAATGAGCTTGCAGCAGCTCAGGAACTATATCTCTGCTTCAGTGGGCAAAGGGACTCCTTGTGTAACTGTGATTAATCCCTAAGGTGTCAAGTCCTTGCATTGACCAACCTTGCATGTTTCTGACAAACCAAAGTGGTCCAAAATCAGAAACTGACCCTCCAAGAATGAGCAATGCCAGAAAAACAAAAAGTTTAGCATTCTGATAAATACCATTGCAGATGCACACATCCAAACAGATATGAATTATTTTGTTAGGTTTAGATGCATTTAATGGAAACACAGTGAAGTGAAATTAGGAACAAGTAAGAGTACAGGTGATTTCCAAAGATATGCCTGCCAGTGGCAAACACATGTTTTTTCTAAGTCCTTGTTTATCTGATTAGTTGTATACATTTCCAAAATGATATTATCTACATTAAAATATTAATTACTTGAATAGACTCAGGCCACATACTCAGTAACTTACCTGCTAGAACAAATTAATGTCTGATACCTACATTAATCTAGTGAAATTAGTTCCAAGTTAAAGACTGAAATTCTTTATCTTTTTTGAAATATACAAAGCCAAAATGGAATGTCCTATTAATATTAGAGGATAGCTACTAATAAAAGTCAGATAGTTCAAAGTTAAATAGAATGATCTTCTGTCCCTAAGCACTGATACGCAGATTCACAATAACATCTAAGAACCTATCTGTTCTAATTGCCACTGAGCAGTATAGTTGCTAATTGAACATGGAGAATGGGTTTGTTCCATCAGATGTGTTCATTTCCTCTAAGAACACCCTATGGAATATCAAATGTACTAAATATAGCTGTCAACATTAAAAGCATGCAACTCAAAAGTGCTATTAAAGAGCTAAGTGTACTTCACATGACATTATGAAGCCAAAGCCCTCTTTAAACATACATCATGTTATTAGGGACTATTCACATTAATGCAAAAATCATAATTCTTAATATATTTTACAAGACATGTCTATGCATCTTCCAGGCTCAAGAGTTCCTCAATTTCTTCCACATTTACTAGTAATTGTATAAATGAATCAATAGTGTTTCAAGTAGGACAAAAAAGAAATAGTTAACTGTAGCAAATCAATACATAACCTTTACCCGCATCCAGGTAAAGCTTCAAAACAAGTGATGCGACATCTACAAATGTTTGTCATCAGCTTACATAGCTTTTAATTTGCTATTGCAATGTCTATGTGCTATAAATTTTTCATTATGATCCTATATAAATATTACAGGTTTTTAGTAAGAAATACCAGGAGACTTCTAGGGAAGCCTTTGCTCAGTAACTAGTACAGACTATTTGCCTTCCCTGATGTAAATACACATGAGGCTGAGGGGTGTTGTGTTAATGCAGAAATGAAAGCATGAGGGAATTTAGAAATAAGTAGGCCTCTGGAACAGCTTGCTAAAAACACAAGCATTGTTCCTATGTCATAAGCAGAACTACAGTACATCTGCTTACTTTCAGAGGCCTCTTGCTTCTACCTCTACAATGCCATGCAAATTAACAGCACCCCACGATACTGTTTGGGAGCAAAATTTAACATGTGGGGCTGGTACTTTAGTCTATGTCAGAGAGGACACAAACACCGATGGGAGCTCTACTCATTTAAGAATACTGGAATTAAGCACCACTAGATGAAGTGATAACGGAATATTTCAGGTAAAAAATGTATTCATTTTAAATGACCCCTACTACATACCCCTCTGTTAGTCTGCCTGTTCCTAAAACATGCAAAGTTCCTTTCGAAGACAACTGATTTTAAACAACATGGTGTTAAGCACAGCAACCAATTTGCACATCTCCCTTAATTCCTCACTCTGTCAATTTATGGGAATTCATATAATTTTAATTATTTTATTTCTACTCTAAATCATGCACAGAGACCACTATCTTAGTCTAAAAGTGACTGAAGTTAAATGCAAGATATGCTTCCAAAAAATTAAAGAAAAACTCCAAACAACCCTTCCATGAACAACTTCACTCACTCAAGAAATTGGATAACTACTCAAATTAGAGTAGAATTAGCCCTGATACAAAACAACAGATAGTGGTAAATAGTCTATAAACTCAAACACAGGATGCATAACCCTGAGGTGTCTCAATTCCAACAAGCCAGATGGATAAATAAATTACTAGATCACCTATTACACATTGATAAACAAGACTCTCAGGAGTAGTCTCCTCTCTACATCAAATTGGGTCAGTTTAAAATACTAAAAGAACTACAGATCAATAATGTCTCTTCTAGAGCTCTGAGTACTGTTTTGCGGAGCACTTAAAAACCCAACTAATTCTGGCCTTTACTACAGTAACTGAAACATCCATGTTATTTATGTCAGCATGGTCTAAAACTGAAAACATATCAATAGCAAAACACAGTAAACTCACAGAAACAAAACTGGGTTTTGCCTCTGGATAAAGCCTAATATCCATGAGTGGAGTTAAACACTGATATTTTCTTCCAACCAAGGCTGATCCAAGGGGGCAGAAACAAAAAATAAAAACAAAACAGACATTAAAAAAAAATTAATACAGGGAAAGCACAAGAGCTAAAAAAGCATAAGCTATCATCCAGAAAAGATGTCTGTGTTGTTTACTCTATAAACCGCACATTATTACAGCCAAATCCCACAGGCCTTGTTTTTGTTATTTCAGAATAATTTCAGAAGCCGTTTTACCTAGCTTTTTCTCAGCCAGGAAAGGCAAATGCAATCTTTGTGACACGGCTCTTCAGTAGCCCAGTGTCTCTTTACTCTTACTTGCTGCAATAGAGCAGTGACTTTTATATGGTTACAGATTTCCCACTGCAAGCACTCAATGAGGAATAGTGAAGCTCTGATTAGACATTACAAAACCTTCTGGGAAGGCTTTCTGAACCACAGCCAGTGGGATTCCCTGCAGGATTAAGGCCCAGTCTTGCTCCCACTACAGTCTGTGGGAGACTTGCCAAGGATATAAGTGGCATGATGACTGGTCTCCAACAGCAGATATTACCCATCAAGACTTGATTAAAGACCTACGCACCTACAAGTATATAATAAATAAAGGGCTTAATTGCATAATTAATTACAAGGGGGTTTAATCCACAATAGACACCACCATAGGTTTTAGGTAGCCCGCATACACCAAACAATTCATTAGATCATTATTACTTGACATCAGTTTACAGGAAGATTGCAGAGGGTTTCAAAAGATACATATTTTCAAGAACTGTATAACACAACAGGAAGCACTAAAGTGAAATCTAAAGAACATTACCACAGCCTAGACCTACAGGCAGAAGTAATTTCATACCGGGTGCACAAGATTCCAACAAAAGTTTTCTTAACAATATATGTTTTATGATGGGCAGTGATTTTTAATAGTAACTACAGCATTGATACTAGACTTCTCTAAAGTACCAGGCAGAAATGTAGCAGTATACACAAGTGGGGTATAAAGACAATGGGACTACATTTTCCTAATTATTTTCTGCTTTAGGTTTACATCACATACACAAAATGAGATCAGCCGGGACTTACCTCTCTAACAAATCACTCAGACTTAAATATTGCTC